GGCTAGGATGGACCAGAGAAGAGAACAGTGCAGCCTGGACGACATTCCTCCGCCCCATTACCCCTCCTCAGGCAGTGGGAGAATAGTGGTTGGCAGAGCACTGCTAGAGGGAAGCTGACAGGCTGCTGACTCAGCCCAACACGGCTGTACCCTCAGGCATCAGCATCCCATTGGCAGCATCATTCACCAAGGTGCTGGGGACCCACGGGCACTTATGATCTTGGGTTGGGTCAACACTGAGTGAGAAAGGCGGCCCTCAGCCTGGCCCACTGTCTTAGCCCCAGTGCCAATGGAACCTTTTCCCCAATCTCATCTCTGCTCAGAAATTGCTACATTGAATCTTTCTTAAGTGAGCAAGTCAAGTTTCCTAAAAGTCTGCAGAATCTGACTTTCAGACTTTAGCAATATGGAGGAAAAAGAAACAGGGTTCATTTTGTCACTCAAAGCCTAGATCCATGGGACTTTGCAGGAGGAGTTCAGAAATAAACATGGTAGTGGATGGCACACTGCGCTGAATATCACATTAGTACTCACCCCATTCCTCCAATGGCTACTCAGAATTCTTTCCTTCCACAAATATTTCTGAGCATCTTGCAAGTGTCCCGTTCTTTGCTGGATGGTGCGGACACAATGGTGAATGAGACAGACTAGTTCCTACCACCAGGCACCTTTAGTCCATCCAGACATGCACAGAGCCATTCACACACTGTGCCCATTGGCAGTCAAGAAAATGAGGATAGTTGTACTGGATAAATGGTGACTGCAGGTGATAAGAGGTGGTCCTGATAAAATGAAATCTAGTCTTACAGGTGGATTCAGTTTCCCTAGTTAAAATGTCACCAGCTCTTCTCTACATTTCAGGGAGGGATCACTGCAACTCTGTATCTGGAATGACAATTAGCAGTAGCATGCTGAGGCAGTACCCCGGCCTAGCTCTTAGGCAGGAGGCTCATGACCCCAGGCTTGATTTATCAGACTTGGGACTAATGGATTTTTCTGTGGTTGCCATGTAAAACAATACCCAGGCCACGAGAGAGAGAGAGAGAGAGAGAGAGAGAGAGAGAGCGCGAGAGCACCCAGTACCTAGGAAATTGGTGCCTGGTACATAAGGGCACTCGGCAAATGTAATGATGTGTTAGAAATGAGGCTGCCACCAGGCACTGAACCCTCTCCACTTCAAAGACAGAGTCATTGGGCAGAACCTGGGCTCACTCAGGTGAAAAACAAGAACCTTTTATCAGGGCTGCCTAGACTGCCCAGGCTTTTGCCCTTGATAGCTCCTGTGTCTCCCAGGGCCACAGGCCACATTCTCCTACACCTTCAGCGTCTGATTGCTTCCCACCAGATCATTCAGCACAAACCCTGAGACACCTTCATCAGGAGCCCCTTTTCCTCCCTGAGTTTGTGGAAAGGTACCCAGGCTCATTGCTCTCTTCAATCTGGATAAGATAGCAGAGCTACAAAGACAACTGTGGCCACAAATATCTCGTCCGGGCTGGGGATGTGGCCTCCAAAAGGACCTAACCATTGTCACAGCTTCAGTCTCTGAGTATGCTAAAGAAGAAGCATGCATCTCTGAAATCAGAATGCAGTACCCAGTGCCTCCAGAGACTGCACTGCCCTCTTCACGGTGTACACCGGGGTTGCGGGCACAGTGGGGACATCTAGGAAGCAGAGGTAACTGTGGTATGCATGGAGGAAAGAACTGGCTTTGGTTTCTAAGTTTTTGCATTAGTTGTCCTTTTGCTTTTCCCTTTGCAATAAAACTATAGTCCTTAAACCTGGGGACCAAGTGACAGATTCAGAGACTCAATAAACTGCCTGAAATCTTATTCAAAATGAGTCTGTGCATATTATGTGCCTTCTCTTGAGGAGAGGATTCTTATATTGCTTCGGAAGAATTTGAAAGAATTTAAGATTCAAAAAAGAAACTGCTGAGTAAAATGCTGGGCTGGGGGGAGTCACAGATATGCAATCTGGTCCTACTCCATTTTACAGGTGAGGACACTGAGGACCAGACAGGTAAAGTCACTTATTTGCCCAAGTGCTTCAGCCAGTTAGTGACAGTTAGCTTAAAAACCCAGTCTCTTTAATCCCAGTCAGGTGGGGTTTCCACTGCTTCATACCAACTAGATTTCTTTTAGGACATAATTTTGAGGACAGGGATCCTGTGGCCTATTTCTTTATAATCTGTGCATGGGCATCAGGTGGTATCTTGTTCATGGTAAAGGGGCTCAGCTCATGCCATTGACTTATTCCAGGGCTTGGTGTCAATTCAAATGCTAGTGACCAATCCAACTGCAAGGTAGCATGGGGCCAGGGTACACTTGAATGGCAATGAAAACACCAGCCAGACAGGACATCGCTTAATCTCACCCTTCTCTCAGGGCGACTCCAATTCTAATTCCACTCTGAGCCTTCCCAGTTAGGACTTCTCCTGGGAAGCAGGGGATTAAAGACAGAGTGATTGGATTTAGTGGTCCAGTGGAGTCACGTTTTCACAAGAACTGGTTGGTTCTAAGACCTTCTGTAAGGCAAAAATCACATGAAGTGAAAATTGCCCTTGAAAATGCTTTCAGACACTCATGAAGTACAACAAGCAGACGTATCACTTCTCAGGAAATCTTAGCTAGCCAGTTTTTCCTTCAGCTTGGAAGAGAGTTTTGTTGTCTTAGTTGAGCAGCGGAGGAAACCACTGGCATTCAGGGCCATGCTGCACCAGAAAACTTATCTTCGAGTGTGATGCTGGTGTGATGTGAGGCCAGGAAAGGGCTGTCATGCATGTTCCTATGTCATACTCGCTCCAGGCACCACATGTTTACTGAGTGGAGGGCTGAAGACCTGTCTGCTATACTGTGTCACCATATGCACATCTCTCCCTCTCTCTCCCTGCACCGACAACTGAGCTTGTGTAGTTGACTTTGTGTAAATTAAATGGGTGCTCCAGGAATCTCTGCCTCAACACCAGCCTCTCAACATGCTGCCTGCCACCTTGGGCTGCCATTCCTGAATGATTGACCCATAGAAACTGAGATAATAACTGTTTGTGGTTTTAAGCTGCTGAATTTGGGGATAATTCATTATACAAAATACAAATGTAGACTTCTAATACAAGGGGATAGCTAGAGAGGCAGGCTAAGGATTATGGACTTGATCCAGTAGGGCAAATTTTCCAGCGAGGAGTGCTGGGAACTTTTAGAAAGTTCCCCTGGCCACAGAGAAGCCGCCGGGGAAGGGGCATGGCTGACAAAGAGACCAGTTAGGAAGCTCTGCAGTTGTCCAGGCAAAAAGACTCACAAAAGGCAATGCAGCAGAGATAGAAGATAGATGTAAGAGACATTTCCCAGTAAGAATGGTGGGAGCTTATTGATTAGCTGCCTATAAATAATAAAATATTGATAACTTAATATGTACCAATCGCTATTCTAAGCACCTTACATGTATTTACACATTTAATGCTCACAACAATCTTATGAGGTAGGTACTACTGTCATCTCATTTAATAGATGAGATGCCACTTAGCAGGTAAGCAGCAGAGGCTGGGCTCAAACTCAGGCAGCTGTACCTTCAACTTCCCACTAGACTTTCTCTGGAAGGATCAGAGAGGGGGTGGGGGTGAGGTTTTTTGGGGCAGGGTGGGACAAGGGTGAGCTCTCAGGTTTCTAGCCTGGACAACAAAGTGCGGCCTTACCCAAAGTAGCAGATGAGTTGAAAGAAAGACAGTATATCACTAATCACCTACTAATTCCCTCTGTACCTCATAGGAGCTGCTAATGGGCTCAACTACAATCCAGCACGTGAAATGTAGAATAACATCCGGACGTGGCACAAGGCCTCACTTCTACCACACTCCAGTAAAAATAAACCTCTCTGTCCAAATATAGAATGGTTAGAAGTGCCATGTTTTACAGGAGAAGAGGCAGTTATTTGGCATTAAAAATAGACAAGCTTTGGCTTCCCCGCAGATCTGGGCAAGAGCACTGCAATTTCCAAGTGGAAACCCAGATGGATGGGTTAAGCCCCCCTCAAACTGACTCAGCTATTTAAAAAGCCCAAAGAGAAAATTACATCCCCTCCCTGGGCCTCAGTTTACTCATCCTTAAAACTTAGGGGTTAGACAGGACGGTTCAGCGTCACTTTGAGTTCCCAATGTCTGTGACGGGAGGAACTGGAGTCCAAGGCTGGTCCTCAGAATGCCAACAGCTTCCTAAACCATGGGGCCCAGTACAGGCAAAGTGAGTTGGCCCTCTGGCTCACAGCTTACTGCTGATAGGACCAGGGGTGGTTTTTCCGAAGGATTTTCAGAACTCTGTCAAGAGCTTTAAATTACTCTCTTGAGTCAGACACATTGTTAATCCACAAAGAAATGCAAGCCAGGAAGTCTCCCTACAACCAGCCTACCTCCTGTGATACCAGCTTGATAAAAGGAAACCGAAGCCCCAGCTTGATGGCAGTAGGGATGGTGGGGGTGTGGGCAGGTCCTTTGCACACATTCCCTTTAATCCTGTAAGGGAGGCACAGCTGTATTTTACACATGTTAGAATTGTCAGTTCAGAGAGGTTACATAACTTTCCTGAGATCATTTAGCTGGTGGAGGCTGGAACCAGATCCAAATCCAGGTCTGGATCCAAAGCCCACGTCTTTCCACTTCATGGGGCCTCCCTCTGCTGCGCTGCTTACTGTGTGGTCAGAAGTCTGAGCTCTTCTCCACTCCAAGAGCAGAAGGGAAGGCCTGACAAGCCAGGAGCCTCAGGGGCAATAGGATGGCAGCTCAGACACAAGTTAGGAGTCTCAAATTCCCTAACAAGTCCCTTTGCATTTTCACCACACCTTGAAAAAGACAGACCAGCTTTGCTTTAAATGGTTTTCACATACTCAAGGGTTCAATAAATACTATTAGCAGTATTAATAGTAGCTACAGCAGCAGCATTAAGCATCTACTCTGTGCTAGAGACCATGCAAGGTGTTGTGGATCTAATTCCTTCATTCGGCAAATAGGGAAAGATACACACACACACACACACATATATGCATGTGAAGAACAGAAAGCCAAATACTCTGTACAAGTTAAAGAACAATAGTTCCCCTTTCCCCTCCCTCTTTACCGGTCTCTCTCTCCCAGAGGCAGAGTGCCTAGAACCCAGGGCAACTAATCTGGGATGGACAAAATGCTACATTCTCACTGGGTCTCCCTACAGCCCCTATGGACCCAGGGATGGGGTGGCCAGCTGGGCAATGCTCACAGAGCAGGGAGAAGCACTGGCTGCTTGTACAGAGAGGGGCAGTGTGGACCAGGAGCCTACAGGCTCCGAGCACCTTCAGCCTGGTATCTGGTGCACCTATGGAAGAGCTCAGCTTTCTCTGCCATTCTCTCAAGGTTCTATGTCCTCTTCAGCCCTGAGGTACTCACTGCCCAGTGTCCCCAGGAAGCTTCAGAGGCTGACAGGTTAACTCCTTTATGGAAGAAGTCTAGCCAGGGTAGCCTGCCACGAAGGGTTGCTCCCTACACACAGAGAGACCCCACGGCTTGCTCCAGCCTGGGCTGCAGTACTGATTCACTCACAGAAGCCTTGAGAGCCGTGGTAACTGATGGAGTAAGTCTTCCTGCTCTCTACTCTCCCTATCCCTTTTTCATCAAGCCCTCCTCAAAAGACAAGCTTTCAAGTGTGCTCCTTGCTGACCAGGACGATCAAGTGACTCCCCAGCCTCCTTCTGGGAAGACTTCAGGCTGATGGAGGCCCTGGCTGGACCATCTTAATCAACCCCCTCCCTGCCATGCCCAGGCTAGAGCCACACTCAGACAGGGCTTGGCCACTAGGGACAGTGAGACAAGTCAGCTGGGCCCCTTTGAGCACTCAGAACATGCCTGCCACATAAGCTCTACACACAGACCCATTCCCCTAGGGGCTGGGAGAGGTCACTGGGAGGTAATCTTTTTCTGCCTCAGATTGAGCAAGAGAAGGCCATGGGGGCAGCTCTCCAGTAGCCCAGGCTTTGAAGCAGGCAGAGAAGCCAGGCCCAGTCCTCCAACTGGCTGGGGGAGTCAGACGTCTGGCCTGGGGGGGTTCCCTCCCCAGTCTGTCTACAGGCTTCCAGAAACCCCTACTCTGGAGCTCTGAATTGGAAGGCCTGTTTTGACCCTGAATAGCAGGCTTCCCTTCCTCCAGGGCATTTCTACAATGGGAAGGGAGGTTTCCAGTCCCTCTCCCACCCCCACCCTCAGCAAACCACAAGAGCTCCACAAGTCTTCAGTTGGTTACAGGTCAGGACCCAAGGTTCTCCCTCCCTCTAAATCTGATTCTCCGCCCCCTCACTGGAGACAGACAAACCTCTGGGGCTGGGGGGTGGGGAGGGGGGCCCAGGGGCAGGGATGTGTCTCCTGAGGCTGGACTTGAGGAATGTTCAGACCAGCACACCAGGCAGAGGGGGAAGGAGCCAGTCTACATCACTAGGCCAATTAACAACAGCCAGCCAGGAGGAACCTCTCTCCTTCCTGGGGCTATTCTGCCAGTAACCTCCAGGGTTTTCTGGGGGAGGGGAAGGAGGGAGGTTTTAAGTTTTGTCCTGGCTTGCTTAGGATAGTGAGTTACTTCTTGGCTGCACAGAAGACGGAGATAGTGCAGTCAAACCACACTCCAGCCGGTCCCAGGCTCAATGTTCAGGTGGGCTTGTCAAACTCTGGGCTCAGTTCTCAGGACAGGCCACAGGGCATCCCTCCTGGGCCTGGCAGGGTCCCTGAAGCTGATGGCTTTGCCTCAGCACCAAAGTCTAAACCATTTATTTGCTTTCTTACTCAGCTCAGGTAGAAGGTCTGCCAAGAGGTTTTAAAAATGGTTGGTAGAAATAATCCTGATTTTCTTTTATGTTCCACTCAAGCGTATACCAGCAGTCTGCCCGTCACAGCCTTGGTCCAGGAGAAGGGAAAACACGACGTCTTATACACATCATAATGGTATGGAGACACACAAGGAAGGTTGGATTTCACAACGGTCAGTGTGCCCCAGAGCCAGTCTTCATACCTGTTCCCTGGGCTCCTTATAAGCGGGAACCCATCTTCTTAGCAGACAAACCATGGTACACACCCTGAGAATATAATTCTGGCCAAGAAGAGGTAATACCTCTAGGATATCCAAACAGAACAAAACAAAGGCTTATTCACAGTCTCAAGTCCTTCTCCTCAGGGCCACTGTGAACCCACACGGCAGTCTTCGTGCAAATTAGTAAAGGCACCCCTTCTTCTAGGCAGACATAGCCTTCCTTACCCTAGGGCGTACAGTTTAGTGAGCAGAGTGCAGGCTGGATTTTAACCTCCATTATTTTCCTCTGCAGGTTCCCTTGTGCAGTGAACAACCTGCCCGACTGTATATCCAGAAGATCAATGCTTCCCGCCACAGTACTGAAGACCTCCTCTCTGCAGAACTGGAAGAGCTCAGGCTTGTTCAGATTTGAGAGCCTACTCTGGACTCCTCCAATTTCTTTGGTAGCCCTGGGGTCTTCTCTGCCCAGGAAGGCCATTTTTACTTTGGGCCTTGCTTCCCTGTTAGCACCAATGTTATCTTTTCTTATATATGCAAAAATTATTTAATTTCCAGGTGTCTAGTTCACAGATTCTGTTAACCAGATTGTCTATGTCTTTTCGGATTCCGTGTGTCTGCTCTCAGAGCTGGCAGACTGGCTGTTTTAAATTCTCTCCATTAGCGCCACAGCAGGGAGAGAAAGGAAGAAGTTCAGAGGCAGCTGTGATCCTGCTGAGTTCCAGAGCATGCCCTTCTGGCCTAGCTGGTAGCCGAAGGAAGACAGGAAATGTGTACCCAGCTTTGCCGGTTCCGCACTCTATCATTGTCTGTTACTCTAAAAGACATATTTCAGCTGACAAAGCCACTATGCTGGCTTCTTCCTGTATCTTACTAGGTGTGAAAAAGGAATGGGGATAAGGAGGAGGAGGTATGTTGTTTCTAAGGAAACCAAGGGCTGACTCATTGGTGGGATGGCCACCACATTTCCCAGTCCAACTGCAATCCTGCCCCTTCGTGTCCTAGAGTGCCAATATTGGGGGTGGAACGCAGCCTGCTGCTGGGTCTTTGGAAAGAAGAACCGACAAAGGCACAAGCTGTTGGTGACTGTATGTTGATTGGCTTTTTGGCTCATCCATGGCTAACACCCAGCCAGATCCAGGAAGCCAGAGGTGGCAGTGGTTCTGTACCTCAGGATCAATCCTGGGGCATCTAAGTAGGAATAAGTCAGATTTGAGGCCTATGCAGAAGTTTGGTTCCTTTCGTGGCATGTTTGCGGAGTCCTTGGAGAAACCCAACCCTCCCTGAGGTCTGCTGCAGATGACAGGGGCTGGCAAGAATCCCTGAGCCCTTGGGGGCAGGCACTGGCTGGGCCAAATGAGAACCCAGATGTAGGCTGACCGGCTTAATGAAGTTGCCACACTCAGCTGGAAAGCCCCTGGCCGAGGCCTTGTGGGGTTAAAACAGTGTGACCATCTGGACCTTGGCCCCATCCACAGTAGAAGGCTGATAGGTTTGGTGGAACCAGGAGTCTGATAATCCAGTCTCCTATTTCTTAACCAAGCTCCTGTGGGAAAACTATAGTCCACCTGCCAGAGGACATCGCTACCTGGTCATCTTCAACAGCTGTTGGCAGAAGAATCTGCTTGTCAGAGCCCTTGGGAGGTCTCACCGTCAGACACATTGACCTCTACTTCAACAGTGTTTGACAAAGGCCCCCATTCCTGGTCGAGGCCCTGAACAGGGAAAGAAGTCCCATATGGGTATGTCTTATGTACACATAGAGATACATTTTTAAAATAAAAACAAACAAACAAAAAACGATTTCACAAGACATAGTGTCAGTCCTCGCTGATGTCCTTCCTGTGGTGCCCCTTTCGAAGAGGGCAGCCCAGCCTCACCTGGGACCTGCCCCATTCCTGTTCTCATCTCCATTCAAAGCAAGATTGTGTAGGAAGAGGAGGATCTGCCACCACACGCGATTTCGGTTCTGCTGGTGCTGAAAGGGAAAAACAAATCAACATGACTCCTAAACACAGCCTTAGACGACTCCTTATCATTTCCAATAAAAGTTCAGATCAACATGTCTGGGGCAGCACTTTAATCCTATCAGTATAGCAAACTGAGGAGGTGGGGGGACAAGAGAAGTGGTGATGAGGGGGAGATAGTTGAGTTCTCCAAAAACAATCACAGTTTTAACATTAAAAAGAAAAGACCAGGCTCTTTATGCACTGTGCACAAGAGGATTAAACTTTTTCCCCTGCTTGCAGGATTTTCCAGAGTTTAGCCAAGTGCTGCTTTTAATCAGATTGGCTCCTGAGCCCCTCAAACCTCAGCTGCATGAACAACAAACTTTCTTCAGAAAGAAAGAGAAGAAGTGCTCCCCTCTCTCCCCCCACTCCAAAGTAACACAGAGAACAAGGGGGAAACAGGGGAGCCTCCATCTGCAAGTGATTTGACACTGTGAAGGTCAAAGGGTTAATCTTCAATTTAAACCACACTGCTGAGGCAGCAAAAATCTGATTTCATCCAGTGCAAACACGCACACACACAGACACACAGACACACACACTCTTGTGCGCCCGCCCTCTCTCCCTTCCCAGCATCTCCAGCTCAGCGCTGCCCTTTTTATAGCTGCTCTTGACAGTAAGCCATAAATAACCCCTCTTGGAACGCTTTCCTACTGACTGGAGCCAATTAAACGTTAAGCAAGAACATACTTGAAAACAAAACAAAAACAAAGAATGCACTACTCTCTGGAGGTTATCCCAGGTCCTACTGTCAGGCAGAGAAGCTGGGGGCAAAGGTCAGGGGTCAGTGGCTCACAGGATTGTGGCTGGTGCCCCGCCCACACAGGTACCATTTCCCCAGGGCCAGCGGAGGCCAGGAGGGGACTGAGGGGTGCTGGAAGAGGCAGTCTTTGTTCTCTCTTTGTCAGGGCCGGAGGACTGGGCTGGGGCCCTCTCTACAGGGTTCTCAGTGGACAGGGGAATAAAAACTTAGTGTGCAGATAGGAGCCAGGACAGGCTGGACCCGGATTACTGCAGCAGCCCAGGCAGCAGACACGTTTATGTGAAGTGTAGGGGGAGCTGGAGCCCTCTCTTGGACTGTCTTTAATCATAGCCCCGGCCTCCACCAAGAGGCTCCTAGTCAGATGGGAAGAGGATAGAGTAAGTCAGTGGCAGAACTGGAAAGTGAGCCCAGATCTCCTGGACTCCCAAAGCTTTGCAGGTACATCTGGCCCAGGGCAACCACGTGGTTGCTGGGTTCCCTTTCACTCTGCCTTGAGCCACAACGAGAAGAGAGGCAAGGTGTCAGCTGAGGCTGATCTCAGAACCCTGCCAACCCAGGAGAACAGAATGCCCCATGCTTGTGGCAATAGTATTCTTTCCCCCGTGGAAGGGAGCCTGGAAAACAACCCAGAAATGTGGAGGCAGCTACTGCTAGGAGGGGCAGGGAAACTGGGCTGCGCCATAGAGGAGGCCTGGCAGACTGTGGCTGGGAGACTGATGGCTTCCTTGTGTTTTGTAAACAAAGATGAGTAAAAAGAGGAAACACACCCGGCTTAACAAAATCTGGTTAGAGTAAAGCAGCGTGAAAACGGACTCAGCTGCAAACCTGAAGACTCAGGCCCACGGCAGCTGGGCAGAGCACCCGCCCCTTCTCCTCCCCAGCTGCTGCCCGAGACAGGTGCAAAGGTCATGTGGTGGAACAGGAGAATCCAGGAAGAGACTGGTCCCTGGAGAGGCCAGTCTGCTGGAATTCCCAGTCTCCTCAGGTGCCTGTTTGAAAAGGCCAAGTAACAATAACAGCCGTGATCAGAACAAAAGTAGTAACACTGAGTGTGCTAGGCTCTGTTCTGAGTGTTTTACATCTCTGCTTCTCAGAGTATGGACCATGGACCAGCAGCCTTGGCATCATCTGGGAGCTTATTAGAAATGCAGACCTACTGAATCAGAATGTGTACCTTTAACAAAATCCCCAGGTGAATTTGGGACATATTACAGTATGAGAAGCACTGCTTTATATACATTATACTCCTTTCATCCTCTTAACAACCCTATGAGGTAGGTATATATATTATCATCTTCATTTTGCAGATGAGATCATTGAAAGAGTTAGGCCACATAGCCAATAAGTGTCGGAGACTGGACTGAACCCAGACTACCTGACCCTAGAGCAGTGGTCCCTAACCTTTTTGGCACCAGGGACTGGTGCTCCTATGAGAATCTAATGCCTAATGAGCTGAGGTGGAGCTGAGGTGGTGATGCTAACGCTGGGGAGCAGCTGCAAATACAGGTGAAGGTTTTCTCCCCTGCCCTCTGCTCACCTCCTGCTGTGCAGCCCGAACGGGGACCCCCGCCTTAGAGCAATGTCCTTACCCATTGTCACTATGCTCTGGGTGCCACCCTATATACCTTTCTTTATACCAAATCTCACCCTCTAGTCTCTGCTTCTCTAAATCATCTCAAAACAGCATAATGCCCAAGGAAGGGAAATCACAATACTATGATTTGGGGCCTGGTCTAATTCCATCTCTGTATGACTCAGTTTCTCCCCCAGATTCCCTTAATAGAGGCCACCTGATGCCTGGGTAACCTTCTGAGCCTTGAGGTCTCTGAGAATAAGGCAAATCAGTACCCTCACTCCCATCACTGGGGGTGTTGGGGTACCAGAAGCAGCCGTGAGCCAGAGAGTGCTGTCAGAAAGGCTGAGGTCTGGGGGACACAGGCAGGCCTATGTGCAGGTCTACCCTCAGGAAGGATCCAGGTTCCATGCCTCTGCCTGCTACAAGCCTCAGGGATCATGAATCCACAAGGAAGGCTCTGGGCCAGAAATCAGAGGACCTGGCTATAGGCTGGGGTCTCCTACCAGCCTGTCTGTGAGTCCTCACTTCCCTTATAAGTGAAATGCAGGTTCCCAAAACTGTGTCACAGAATCCACTGAGGTGCTGCTGTAAATACAGAGTCCCACCCATACCACCTGGGTCAGAATCTTCAGAGAGGGGGTCCAGGAATTTTTATATTGTACAAGCTCCCTGGGTGACATTTTTTAAATCAGAAATAATAGTTATTGTATGTTTTAGTCACCAATACATGTTAACTGTAGAAAAATTGGAAAATACAAGAAATTACAGAGGAGAATATAAAATCATTCATGACTCTATAGCCTAGAAGAAAACACTCCATAATTTGGTGTTTTCTTCAATCTCTTTCAATCTCTTCCACCCAGAGTAATGACTTGGCCGACCAGGGGCAAATCCTGCCCAGGTGGTTCCACGGCAGCCAGGCCACAGACAGGCATTTGGAAACCACTAAGGTGCTTTCCAGCCCTCAGGTTTGGTAATTCAGAGTTTGTCATCCACAATTATCTTTAGGAATACAGCTCAGAGCTCCAACAACTGAATCCGGTCAGCCTGGTAGAGGGTCTGGGTGGGCCTGGAGAACAGGCTGCCTGTACAGAGAGTTAAGTTGGCGGCTGCAGCAGCCATGAGACCAGCAAGAGCAGGCCTGGGGACCCATCTACAGTCCCAGCAGCCCTTTCTCCGGGCACAAGCAGATGCCACACATATTCCACTTAGCCTTCTCCTGCCACAAGCAGCCACCAAAAGGCCCTTTCCTGAAAGAAAACCAAGCTGCCTCACACCAAGAGAATCAAAGAATGCCCTGATTTTGAGGGGCAACAATAAAATATTTTTTAAAAAATTAAACAAAAGGGCCTGACTAGAAAGGAAAGAAAAAGGACTTGAAGAGAGGCCAATGAGAGAAACAGTAAGGAGGAAGGAAATCACCATTTACCCAACAGGATGAAGTACACAAAGACACCAGAACGCCAGAGAACATGGGTCCTTCTAGGGGAAGGGGTGGAGAAGGGGAGAAGGAAGGGGGAACCAGGAAAGAGGGTGTCTGGCTTCTGATTCTCGGACACTTGGCACAGCACCCAGCACATAACCTGAGATGAGTGAATGCAAATCCCAGAGCAAGGCCCAGCTCTCCCAGACTCGCCTAGAGCACCCATCAAAGTACGTGAACCTGCAAAGTATGGGGGTTCCCAGAATGCATGGTCAGGATACCCTCAGGGCTGGGGGATTAGGCTACAGGGGATGGGAAGCTGGTGGGAATTTAAGCTGATACCAGAAGCCCTCAAATTCGGAGTCTAGAGTGTGGAACTAAGGCACGGAGGGGAAGAATAAAGGTGAATGCCCTAAGGGAAGGGGTTCTAACAGGGTGGATAAAAATATTCTCTTCAGTAAAGAGAGCAAAACCAGGCATAGAGGCCTAAGGTGTTTCTTTGACTCAGTCCACTTCCTTGCTGAACTCAGGGGATGAAGGCAGTCAGTTGACAACCATTCCAATCACCCCTGCTGTGTGCAAGGCACTGTGACTGAATGGTCATTCATCCTGTATAATAGGGAATATGTAGGGACACACAGTAGGTACTCAACAAGTACACATTGGACTGACTACAGAAAAGTCAGCCTTGCAAGATAATCCACTTGTCTGAGGCCAGGAACCACTGATGTCTAGCCAGGTCTAAAGATGTTCTTGATGTGATAGTATCAGCCTCTTGCCTGGGGAGAGGCCCCACTAGTAAAAGGCTTTTTTTTTTTTCTTTTTAAAGAGCTGGCTGTGGTGTTCAACATGGTTGGATTACACAAATCAAACTCTGTTTCATCCCACGTGACCTCTGCCCTAAACACAAAGAGTGTTCCCTGCGCTCCCCTGATAAGAATCTCCCTCTGCCTCTCCCCTTCAGATCCAATTCACACCCTCTGGGGACTTTCTGTGTCACCAGTGTTCCAAATGTTCCAGCAAGAGCTGATTTACCCCAAAGACTTAGAAGGAGTGAGGCTATGCTGAGGCCCTGCTTTAAAAGAACCCTGCAAATTCACCAAACGGATAATTTATTATATCTCATACTTAGAACAGGGTGCGTCTATCTTTCTATTTGCTCCTCACAAACATCTGGGACATAGGAAGGGCAGGTATTATCACTCCC